GATGCTGTGAGATGTAATGTTTTTTGAAGTTCGCTATAAAAGTTTTCTATTTCTTCTTCATTTTTTGTCAGAAGTTGGTGCATAAATCTGAATTAAATTCATTTTTCCATGGGTTGTCAATAATTGCACCATTATAATTCTTTCAGATATCGGAACGAAGCCTGTTACTGATCTCGTTAGTTTTTCAGTGAGGATCATAGCAACTCCATATCTGTGTTGGGTGTCGCTGCTTCCAGAGTAATAAATTCGTCCATTGTCTGTATTGATTTCGCCAGAGCCGACCCATCTTGTATCGCTTATTCCTAATATATCGATCTCTAGTCGCATCATCTCTTGCTGTATATTTCTTAGTTTCCCAGGTTCATACATACTTCTTACATTCCATGTAGCTATTTTGTAAGTGGATTTGTATATATTTAGTGAACAGGGATTTCGCTGACTAACGGCCTGGGAAGCCCTGTCGTTACTGCTGTTTCTTCCCCTGCCGAATCTTGGCATCCGAGAACCATGATTAGTAGGTTGTTGATTGTCATTTTTATTAGCCATGACGATTTCTAGGGATACTCCAAGAGTCTTTAATGCAGTGGTTTCCCGTTGCCTTCTGCATTCTTACGCCGTTGGCCGTTTTCTCGGCTCGTCCGCCTTCAAGATCGATTTCTCAGTCTCAGGGCAAAAGAGTGCCCTTGTCTCTTACTAGCTCGTCCGCCCGCAACCGTTGGCCAATAAAAGGAGTTCTATATCAACCCTAAAATCGAGGGTTGCCACTTCCGCCATCCACGCCGTACCGAAGCTCCGCTTCTCCGCCGTGTTTGCCGTTGTGGACTTCATCCGTAACCCTGGACAAGGGACCCTAAACAGTGAATTTGCGTTTTATGGATCTTTACTTTAAATGGGGAAAACTTGACTGAGCATAACGAAAAAGGCTGGTAGGACTGTGGTATATTCTTGAATCGTGCTTATTGGATCTGTTAATTCAGTGATATTCATTAGTAGCATGTTAAGTTTGTCAAAGTTTAGAGCGAAAGATTTTCGGAGAGTGATTTTCTAAGAAGGTTTTAGCAGGTTCAAGTAATGACAGATAATGAGCATTTAGAAGTACTTGCTGAACTAATTTTAGTTTTTTTAGCTTTTGCTTGGACTTTAAGTGTTCGAAAAATGTTATAATATGATATGATATATATGATAGTTTTGAAAATGGATCTGCTTGAGGTGAAATAATTTCATCAAAGCTACGTTTTCGTTGATTAATAATGTGACTGTCCTTATTTGATGCATCTACTTTGTTCAGTATCTCTGGGTCATTAGAAATAGACATTTGTTTACATTTAGAAGTAAGAGTTTTTATCATTGGGTTTTTGCAAAAATATATTTGCTGTGCAGGTTACCGAAGATTTATTGATTTGTTTGGGGGTTAATTAAGGTAATGGTTCGGAGTACTGTGATACAATATGACCTGACTTCTTGCAGTTATAGCAAACTAAACTGTCTTGAGAGATGAATATTCTCTATGTTATGCTGTCAAAAACAAGAGTAAATGACTCTGGTAGTGTTAGACTGTGAGGGTTGATATATATTTGTCTTCAGAAATTAAGAATGTTGTTGAACTCCGGCATATAAACAGCAAGTTTTAGGAATGTCATGGGGAGACAGGAAATATATCGATTTTTTGTAACTCATTGATTAACAAGTCGTGTGGTATTATAGAACATACGTTGGAGAGCACAAGTCGTTTCGCTGATGTGACTAACCTTCTTGCTCTGATAATTTCACGTACATCGTTTGTAATGTTTGTATTTTGAGAACGAGTTCCGAAGTGGAAATTGAAACGTCAATAAACATACTTTAACCTTTAATTGTGGCTTATTCCCATTTAAATAGTAGTTACTTTAAAATGCCACAAGAAAATAGCTTCAGAACAATAATAACAAATAATTGCAATCTGGTTGACTTTAAATTAATTTAACTAGATATTATGTAAAGAGTTTGTAACGTTTACAATTTATTACAATATATCACTGAGATGTCGGTCAGATAGCTCAGCGGGCTGTGCGGCTGCCTCTAATTTGCTTCACTGTCGAATGGTTTAGTGGATGTGGGATCGGGCCCAAGCTCGGTGTACAGAAAACAAAAAGTCTAACGCAGCAGTTTAAAATTCTAGATGAATCTGCGGCTTAGACTGGGATATGCTGAAGTCTGATCGGCCTATGGTGGAGCAGTACGGGCAAGAGATAAGGGCTTGCGGCTCGGTGATACTCCTCCATAGATCCCTACCGGACAGGCGTAACGCCTAAAAAACCGGATATATATATATATATATATATATATATATATATATATATATATATAATATATATATATATATATATTATATATATATATATATATCACTGAGATTAATAATTTATAACTTACATACTTAATGTATGAAAGGAACATCGTTAATATTAAAAATATTCGGAACCCGCATTGAATACGTTTCAAGGCAAATATAGACACAACTGATCATTTGTAACATGTTACTATACTTACTTACTATATTAGTAAATCTTAATAAAATTGTGTTTTACTAGAACTGGTTTCACATACTTTTTTTGTAGTGGTCGTTTCGACTGAGCGCGACTACTTGTTTTCAAAAATTCCTAGCAACTACTAAGGGGTTAAAGTAAAAAAATATGTGACGTTTCACTTAAAAAATATAACTTTTAATATACCTTGTAGCATTAGAGGCCTACAATTTTTTTAATTTACAATTTTTTTTAGTATCTATGACATTTTATCTTAAAAATTATATATAGGAACATACATACACTGTGTCCAATTAAGTCCGCACCGTATGGGAAACTTTTTTATTTTTAGTTTTATGAAAATAAAGTTATTCTTTATAAAAAGTTTCAGTCATACACGAGGTGAAAAAATTTAATATCTAATTATTGCAATTTACTCTTTTTTGGGAATAAGCCACAGTTTTACTTTAAAATTAAGATTATTTGACGTTTCGATTTCCATTTCGGAAATCGTTCTCAAAATTTCCGAAGTGGAAATTGAAATGTCAAAAAAACTTAATTTTAAAGTATAATTGTAGCTCATTAGTAAACTTTTTATAAGGAATAACTTTTTTCATAAAACTAAAAATAAAATGGTGCTGAATTAATTGGACACACTGTATATATAATAAAATAATAAATTCGATATTTCCTAAATGAAAAGCCTTTTTAAAAAATCTAAAACACGTATATTTTTAAGTTTAATGTTCTACATTTCATTATAAAAGGTGATATAAGGTGACTTATACTGACCCTATATTTTATGACATATTTAGATCGATAAAAGTGAGCTGATTCCAAAAATGTATAATATTCTGGGTCTAATGGATACAATTTAAAAGGTATACGCTTAGAAAATAAATTATTTATCGGCTGCAAAAAAGTAGCCTACTACTAGTTTTTAATGAAATGTAATTATTTTTAGTAACGTTCAATAACAACTAAGTAGTACAATAATTGTATTAATTCGTGAATGTTCTGTATATGGTTGCTTAGAATTAATTTGAAGTAGAAATGAAAATGAGTGTGAAGCAACGAATTGAAATACTCATGATGATTGGGTATGGAGACAAATCGCGAACTCAGATGGAAGTATGTAATGTATTTAATGATAAATATCCAGAAAGACCCTTAACGCAGTCAACAGTAAGTAAGATTGAAAAGAAATTTCGAGAAACTAATACGGTTGAAAATGCAGGCAAATCAGGTCATCCCTCTGTAAATTATGATACAACATTAGATGTTCTACTTGCTTTTTGAAGAAGATGCGCACACTTCTGTTAGTAAGATTAGACGTGATCTCGATGTTTGAAAAACAACGGTACACAAAGTAATAAAACTTGAAAAATGGCACCTCTTTAGATGAACACTTGTACAGGAATTAAACGAGGATGATCCAGGTAAAAGAATACAATTTTGCGAAAAAATGATGGATAACCACCGAAACACTCTCTTGGTTCAAAATATTATTTTTTCTGATGAAGCTACATTCGCATTAAAAGGTGAGGTCAACCGTCAGGACTGTAGATACTGGGCAAAAGAAAACCTTAACTGGATTCTGGAACATCATACATAATACCCGCAAATGGTAAACGTATGGGCTGGCATTGTAAGAAATAGAATCATCGGACCCTACTTTTTCAAAGGTAATTTAAACGGCCCAGTATACCTTCAGTCTTTAAGGGGGTACCTCGTACCTATTTCAGTTAATTTATTCCCCAGTAGAATTAATCCTGGAGGTTTTGATGAACGTTTATGGTTTCAACAGCATGGTGCGCCTCCGCATTATGCTGTAGATGTTCGAAAGTACCTAAACGAAATTTTTCTGAACAGGTGGATTGAAAGACGTGCACATATTCAATGGCCAGCGAGGTCGCCAGACCTCAATCCTTTGAATTATTTTATGTGGGTTCATTTGAAGAATGTTGTTTATAAAACGAAACCTGCAAAAATTGACGACTTAAAAACAAGAATTCGTGAAGAAATAAACAATATTTCGCAAGAAACCATAAACAATGTTCTACAAGAATTTGTACAAGATAAAGTCATGTATTAATTACTGGATTGCTTTCAAGTTATTTATTATAATTTATTTATGATTTATTAATATTAGAAATCAATAAAAATTAATTTTCCAAGCGCTTATCTTTCAAATTATATCCGTTAGCCCCAGTGTTACACTTTTTTTGGAATCAGCTCATTTTTATCGAGCTAAAAATGTCCTAAAATACAGTGTGTTACATTTAAAAAGATCCGATGACATCATCGCCTCAATGTGTATCACCTTGATTAATAAAATTTTATTGTAAAATGTAGAACATTAAACTTAAAAATCGGCGTTTTTTTGATTTTTAAAAAGGCTTTTCATTTAGGAAATATCGAATTTATTCTATATTTTACGGACACACTATGTATATATATATATATATATATATATATATATATATATATATATATATATATATATATATATATATATATATATATATATCGAGATGTATATATAATTTAATGTATAAGAGATTAACTCCTATTATCTTTTTTTGTCAGTGGTAAATAAAATTGACGATTCAATGTGCAATTTATCAGTGGTGTCATGCCCATTATTTTTTCTTCTTTCTTCCAGGTCATTTCGTGAATTTTCCGGTTCGCTTTTATGCATATATCAAGAAAGTGCAATCTGAAAAAATTAGAAAATATTAATTTTAAGTTCACTGTAAGTTTTTCTTTAGTCACAAAAGTTAATAAAAAAATACATTTTTACTGATTCTAGAATGTATATTTGAAAGGGAGATATTGTTAGAGGATAAGCTCCGTAGATATTTCTATACTGCAATCTGAAAAATATTTTGTATATACCAGAGCTTTCCAAACTGTGTGTCGCGACGCCCTTGATCGTCGCTGCGTTGTTCCAGGGGCGTCGCCTGTCAGCGCGGACTTTTAATACTGTTTTGTTTTATTATGCACGCGGAGTTTTTTGCTATCAACAATGGACACTTATATTCTAAAGAATAAAACACGAAGTGAATAATCGGGCGAGAGCAGTGATGTTAATTTAAGTAAAAAGAAGAAATATAGGACACATGACGACCAGTATTTGAATTTTGGATTTATCTGTGTTACTAAAGGGAATGTAGAACTTCCACAATGTGTTGTTTGACACAAAATGTTGGCGGCTGAAAGTATGCTTCCTAATAAACTAAAACGGCATTTGGAATCAACTCACAGTCATCTACAAGATAAGCCAAGAGACTTTTTTGTAAGAAAAATTGCGAGAGCTAAAACATCAGACCACGGCTTTAATGAAACAAACGATTATACCAAAGAAAATGGAGTTATAATAGGAAAGACTAGAAGTGCATTCACTAATATGAAACAAATATTATGTTGTAGAGACCTCAGCCTAAATCTTAGAAAACGAGTACTAAAGTGTTATGTATTTTCTGTTCTTTTGTTTACCCCTAAATAGTTATAATTCTGAACTCCTTCTACCGTCTTATTATTTACGTATAGATTGATGAATCTTATAATTTTCTTTGATATAACCATGAATTTTGTTTTCTTTATATTTAGTGACAGACCAAATTTTTCACTCGCTGCAACAACCTTATCTAAAATTCTTTGTAGATCTTTAATATTTTCTGCTATTAGTATATCCTTGCCGGTGTAGTTTCCAAGGAGAGGTTCTGAATTGAGTAGGGGCTCTTCAGTACTTCTTGGAAAACACACTCGGCGCGTGTGTTTCCAACCTCAACACGGCGCGTCCAACGGCTGATAGGGAACAGCTGATACGGTGCTACAGATATGTGGGACAGCTGTGAATAAGGTTTTGCCAAATAAACACCCGCGGATCAACTGAGAGCATGGCATAGGGCAGCATATATGTCATTACAGGATAGAAGCGGTAGAGAAAAATCTCTTTACCGGTCTGATACTGAATAATCACAGGCAGTAATTATGACTTAACCGGCTGGGATACTGCGAAGTATCCGGTTGGAAATATTTCTTGGTCAACAGCTCCGGTTGGAAGAATTGACATATGGTAGGGCACTTCATCGCCTTCGAGCTGAGGACTCCGAAGGCGGAAGAGCTAAATGAGCCAAACGGAATTAAGATGTGGAAAGCCACGGGACGACTACCACATTAAAGATCCGTAAGGATATCGCCAGGACACCACAATGACTAAAAATCCAAAACAAACGGCCCTCGGTCCCGGGCACCCCGTAAGTGGGGAGAGGGTGCTAAGAATCCCCCGGTCAGCCAATAATGTTCCAAAAGTTAAAAGGAGCGGTACGTGGAACATTCGAAGCATGTACCCAGCAGGCAAAGCAGCAAATACTATTCAAGAAATGACTCGCCTGAACATAGATATTGTAGGATGCAGTGAAGTTAGATGGCCAAATTCTAGAATAACAAATATAGATGAACACCATATCTACACGTACCGACATCAGAATCCACTGAAGAAAAAATAGAAAATTTCTATCACTCTAGAAGACTCTCTAAAACTGACCAAAAAACATGAACTTTCTATTATCATGGGCGATTTCAATGCCAAACTAGGACAAGGTACAGTCGAGAATGTCGTGGGGTCATATGGTCTTGGCATAAGAAACGAAAGAGGAGAAAGACTAATCCAATTCTGCCAAGAGACGGATATGGTTGTAAGGAATACACTTTTTAAATTACATCCAAGAAGACTTTATATATGGAAAGCACCCGGTGATACACCAGGGAAAATCATAAGAAACCAAATTGATTTTATCAACATAAACAAAAGGTTTAGAAATTCTATCACATCAATACTACTAAAAGAAAATGACACCCAGAAAAGTAAAAACAGAAATTACTAAGAATTTTGCGAAAATAGTTGAAGACACTACTAGAGGCATAGAAGAACAGTGGAACGAAATGAAGACATCTATTACCACAATTTCGCATGAATATCTAAAATCAAAAAGAGTAAAAAAGCAAGAATGGATGAAAGATAAAATATTGCAGATGATGGAAGAGCGAAGAAAATTAAAAGGTAGAAATGACAACGAATAAAAAAAGTTGCATAAGACTATACTAAAGGAGATAAAAGGAGCAAAAGAAGCATGGTTGACGGAAAAATGTACGGAAGTTGAAACACTACAACGCAAACATGACGATTTCCATATGCACAAAGAAATTAAAGAGGTAAAGAATACCAGAAAACAACGCATTACAGGCATTGTTGTAGACATTGAAGGCCAAATTTTGACTACAATTGAAGATAAATTACGAAGATTGAAAGAATATATGCAAGAATTATTGAAAGATGCAGCACGAAGTCCTACTAAAATAAACAATCCCTACGACCTAGAAATAACAAACCAAGAAGTAACTATGCCCATTATGCTGGTTTAAAGATGGGAAATCACCAGGACCTGATGAGGTGCATGGTGAAATCTTAAAGCTATTGGAGTCACACCAAATCATAGCTCTTACGAAGCTATTCAACAACATCTACAAGACTGGTTACTTGCCAAAAGACTGACTACTATCAATATTCATTCCACTTCCTAAAAAAGCCAACGCTTGAAAATGTGAAGAACATCGATTAATTACTATGATGAGCCATGTACTTAAAGTACTCCTTACTATCATTCACTCGCCCATATACACCGAATTAGAAGAACACCTGAGTGAAGTTCAATTTGGATTCAGAGCAGGACTCGGAACGGGGGAAGCACTTTTTAGTTTGCAAGTTCTAATACAGAGAGCCATGTGGAGAGGATAACAACTGCGATGTTTATGCATGTTTCATTGATGAGTTCGAGAAGCCATTTGATAAAGGGCTTTCCCACACGAGAAACTAATCGATATCCTAAAAACATCAGGACTCGATGGTAAGGATATAAGACTGATCTCAAACTAATATCTCCAACAAAAAGCAACAGTACGATTAGAAAATAAAGTGTCCGAGATCTTCGCAGTCGAAAAAGGAGTTAGAGAGGGTTGCATATTGTCACCGGCATTATTTAACATATACTCTGAAAACGTCATTAGAGGCCTTGGACGAATCAGAAGATGGGATTGCTGTAAATGGCCAACTTATAAACAACATTAGATATGCAGACGATACAGTGTTGCTGGCAGATAGTGCGCAGGGGCTCCAACGAATAATAAATAACGTTGTAGAAGCATGTAACAAATACGGCCTAAAACTAAATTGCAAGAAGACAAAAATACATCATTAGTAAGAACACCGACGCGCGACGACTTAAACGCCCAAATTACAATTAACGAAACACCCTTAGAAAGGGTGGAAAAATATACTATTTGGGCTGCAATATTAAGGATACTTGGGATCACAGCTGCGAAATAAAATCTCGTATTGAAAAGCCAGAAGCTCTTTTAACAGCCTTAGGAAGATTCTATGCAACTTACTAAGTATCAATATACACATAAGAATTCTTAGATGTTACGTCTTTAGTGTCCTCCTCTATGGAGTAGAAAACTGGAGCCTTACAGAAGATGCCATAAAACGAATGGAGGCATTTGAAATGTGGTGCTACCGACATATGTTGAGGTGTCTCATATAGACACCATACAAGTAACATAACGATTCTCCAGAGGCTAAGAAAAGAAAAAGAAATTATTAACACCATAAAAACAGAAAATTGGCTTACTTCGGCCACGTCATGCGTAATAATAAATATCGACTTCTACAGCTGATTCTACGGGGCAAGATTGAGGGTAAAAGAGGCCCTGGACGTAGACGTATATCCTGGCTGGTTAATCTTAGGAAGTGGACTGGTCTAACGTCAATTGCTGTGAGTAGAATAAGATGGGTCAATGTGGTCGCCAACAGTTCGAGAATATAGGCACATTTAGAAGAGAAGAAGTATTGTATCACCAGCATATCTAATTTCACGTATGGGTAGGCCATTTATTTTTTTGCCTGCTACTTCATCTTCTAATGTTTTTTTTTTTAACATTTCTTCTGAGTATACATTAAACAGTGATGGCGACAAGACAGAGCCCTGTCTAACACCTCTTTTGATTTTATTTTATTAGCCTTTAAATTATTTGTTCTTATGACAGCTTCTTGTTCATAATACAGATTATTTATTATTCTTATATCCCGTGTGTCGATGTTCTTTGTCCTCAGTAGTTTTATTAACGGATTATGTTTCAGTGTATCGAATGCCTTGTTATAATCTAGGAAGCAGACAGATGTCCTGGTTTACATTAAAACATCTCTGTATTAGCACATTTTCTCTGGTTCTTTGAGCGTTTCTAAATCCGAACTGAGTTTGTCCAATGTCTTGTTCTAACTTTTTATACATTCTACGATGATTAATCTTTAGGAATACTTTTAGTATGTGGTACATTAGACTGATGGTACGTTGATCGCAACATTGTCGGGCGTTTTTCCTTTTCGGTATAGTCAGAAATGTCGATATAAGCCATTCTTTAGGTAATATACCTGTTCTGTATATGATATTAAATAATTCGACAATAACGTGTATATTGCAGTCGGCGATAAGTTGCAATATCTCTGTCGGTATTTCTGTCTGGTCCTACTGCTTTCCCAGTTTTCATTTCTTTAATTCTGTGTTTTACTTCACTTTATGTTATTTCTGGTCCAGCCTCTTTTGCCTCGTTTGTCGTTAAACCGCTGTTCTATATAGTTTGCCCATACCATCAATT